CTCGCCAAATTGGTGCCAGACTTGTCTGGGAGGATAGCAGCATTGGTTCGATACATCGGTAGGCCACCGCGAGCCATTGTAAAGGTCGGATATGCATTCATTCACCTCCAAACGATGCTTGATGAAGTAGAATGCATGGCGCATCCTTCAGGAATTGTTCAAACGCCGAGAGCGCTAGAGCTTTTTTTTACACCGCGGCATAACTTTTCGGTTTTTTTTTTATTTCTTTTTTCTTTTTTGCTTTTGCTGATAAATTGGTGAGTTTTACCACGTTCGCTGAATCCTTAGGCTTAATACCAAGTTGCTTTTCGATCCTTCCAGCACTCTTTTTTCTAGCATCAGCATCTGTATTCTCTCTGAAAAGTATAAGTTGGTAGTATAGTATAGTATAAAGTATAAAATGGTAGCATTTTTATTGGTCCTGAAATCGTGCAGCGCTCGATATCACATGGGTTTGCATTTCTTCGAGTATTTGCTTCTGATCGTTATTAAGGTGTTATCGTAATCTGTCTCCTTTTACACTGTTACCTGTTCCGTTTGTTTGTTTTTCCTTCTCGCGACGAATTCTTTAACCTCTTGATATCAATAGTCTTAAGGGTGTGTGGTCTCATTCGTCCACTAAGTGCCACGGTTTATTCACCCACACCATTTACATGGAGCTATTTTGCATTTAATATACTGGTTTTTTTTTTTATTAAAGCTGGTTTCCAGTTGCATGCGTGGTTCGTCTCCACACATCATCCTGTAGTAAAAGTGTAAACGATTAAGCTCTCATCATTAATCGATCTCTGAAGGATGCGCCATGCATTCGATTTCATTAAGCATCGTTTGTAGGTGATTGAATGCATATCTAGCCTTCACAATGACTCACGGTGGCGTACCGTTGTATCCCGGACAAATTTGGTACCAATTTGCTGAGCCAGGAAGGATGGAAGGTGGGCTATGGGCCCGGAGAACAATTCCACTTGTGCTGCAGGTTGCTCTCGACGACCGCACTACACGCGTCCTTATCCTGTAGTAATTCATCTGTTTCACTCGTTATATTACAACCTTTTCCCCTAGATGTCGTCGGGTTGCTCTGTGAGGGTTCAGTTGTATGTTCTATTAAGGTTTTCAACGTTGCGATTGGGCCTTTAGGTATTCTTGTCTTCATATCGGCACGAATCTTAAATGACTTATTTTTGACATTACAGAGTTTTTATATGCTTTTTGTAATCATTCGATCACTTACCCAATGCAGGTCTTTTGCTAGTCGTTAATTGAGGAAACTTATATTCTGCAATAAGTAATATGTAAAAGTCGTTTTTCTGAGAGGTTTGCTTCTCTGATTTGAATTCTTTGGAGGAATTGTTGCTGGTGAGATGGGTATTGATATCTTTCCATTACCCGACATGTGGAACCAGAGATTGATCAACGCCGAGAGCTTTATCCTTCATCCTTTATATGATCATCTATCCGCGTTGAGATTCTATTTAGTTCGCTGAGTGCATTTGTGCGTGATTGTTATAAGCATTCCTTTCCAAAGTGCTTTTCACAATATAAGCATTTCACATTTGATACAACAGTAATTGCAGATTGCAGCATTTCGTCTGGATAGGAATGTTTTCTCAGTTCACTGGATCTACAGTTTTTACTCATACTCCAGCGTATTTGGAGTTGTGACGTCTCGCTGATCTCTTAGAGCCCACACAACATCTTCATACTTTCTATACTACATCGATCTATTCATAAAAATGTTTACTTTTATGCATAGAAGGGCGCGTGTGACGCAGTGGTTGGAGGGGCCACTACGACACGCACTTGGAATCGATCCCCGCGCCCACGGTCCACCAAACCTTCCATCCCTCCGGGGTCGACAAATTGGTACCAGCCTTCTCTGGGAAGATAGGAGCACTGGCTAGGCCAACGTCGGTACATCGGTAGGCCAACGCGAGTCATTGTAAAGGTCAGGTATGCGTTCAGTTATCTCCAACGATACTTAATAAAGTCGAATGCATGGCGCATGCTTCAGGAATTGATCAACGTGGAGAGCTTTATACTTTATCTTTATTTGTGCACGGGAGTAATGTGCGCTTAAGTGGTAAAGGAATAAGGTGTGCTACCGTTTTCTCGTTCTGTTTACCTATCGCTGGCTGGGCATCATTTTATGTATGTGTATTCATCGAGTCTTTCTTGATCGTAAATTCCCACGACTGTCGATCTTGACGAATTGGCGAAAATGATCGCTTAATTAAGCGAAGACATCGTGATAGTCTCTTCTCTTCTACGTCCATTTTAGCATCAGCACGTCTTTCCGATCACGTTGTTTCATTATTTATGCTTTTTTTAACTCTCTAATAAATGACGCGCCACGGGGATCATCCCATGTTTTTCCTTCACCTGCTGATCAGATGGATCCATTGGGTTGTCTTTCAGCTACTGACGCATTGGTATGTCAGACATCGGTATACTCATATCATTGTCCAGTTAGCCGCACTTAGAAATATATGAAAAACCGCTTCCCGAACGAGTTTACCAATCAAACATTTTGGTGCTCATCGACTACTATGTCAGTTCTAATTGCTCTAGTGATTGTAGTTATAGTGTAGAGTGTGCAGGTATTAAAAAGTACTGAAATAGAGACTCATAACTTGCAGAACACTTCCAAGTGCTGATAGTAATGTGTTTGTACGATGGACCGTAATAGACATACTAAATTAGACCTTACCTCCCAGCGGTTTACCTCCTCATCGTGGTTGGAAGGTGTTCCTGGGTGTCAGACTGCGATGTACAGCGAGGGATTCATCCTTTGGCAGGGTCTCCCGGGCTGAGAAGTATGGTGTTTTCATCAGGAACCCCAACTAAGAGTAAACCAGTACTAAGATTCACCATCGTCCTGGTATCAAGCTACTGGCATAGTGACAAATCCGCCTCTGATCCACAAGGGAGACGACTGCCGGTGGTGAAGACGACCTAGGGCAGACTTTGGCGTGGCTGATCTCAGGACTCCAGGGAACCACAGTGGCTAAACCAGGAAAACTCCAACAAAATAGAGATTATGCTGGAGCCTGCACAAACAGTGAGGACGAGCCATCCAAGTATCTAAGTAGGTTAATAAGACCATGAATATCATTCATAGCCATGGAACGATATAGCGGCGTATTGTTTACAATCCATCCATGTTCACAACCCACGAAGTCCTTTTTTATTGAGAGTTATTGTTTGTTTCCAAAAATCTAAAAATTTCATAGAAGTCTAAAATTAGGCGTCGTCCATTCTGCAACAAACACGAGATTAGGCGTCATTGTGAGAGTGTTAAGAACCTAGCACTAGAGCACTAGTTCATTGAAGACTTGATTCTTGACAAGTCTAAAATTTGGATAGCATTTTTTAAAAGTTAACACAGATACGGTGGCACATTCACTATTCATCGCTGGTTTCCACTTCTCATCTTTATTGCTTGTCCTAGTTTTTCCTTGCTAATTCAACGCGATTGTTTCTTATCAGGTTTCCCCTGAAATCCCCATTTCTTTTCTTTTCAGTGTTTCCACCGTGGTCTTCCGTTGTGAATTCAAGTGAAGCAGTCCCAGCGACTGAAATGCCGACGATTGTATCATTTCCTGATCATCTGTTGCTCGAAGAAAACAGGTACTTGAAAGCATTTGAATCTTCTGAGACTATAGTGCTTATAAACTGTAATTTGTTTTTTTCTGTCAACATCTAAATTTTTATTGGTATTGGTACTACTGATATAGGGCGCGTGCAGCGCAGTGGTTGGAGGCGCCCTGCAATACACATAGGATCGATCCAGGCACCCCAGACCCACCAAGCTCTCGATCCCTCCTGAGTGGGCAACTTGGTACCAAACTTGTCTGGGAGGATAGCAGCACTAGCTCGATGCATCGGTAGGCTACCGCGAGTCATTGTAGAGGTCAGATATGCATTCAGTCACTTAGCGGTGCTTAGCGAAGCCAAATACATGGCGCATCTCTCAGGAATTAATCAACGCCGAGTGTCTCAAATGGCAATTAATTTCCTTGTGCTGGGACTATTGCTGTGTTTTACGAGGAGAAAAAAAATTTGCAAACTTTCAAATCGACCTACCTATAAGGTTCAACATGCCTATGCCTAAACATCTGTAACAAAAGGAAAAAATAAGACTTCACAAGGTTTACCCTTGTGTATACGTTACCCTGATTGGTTGATGTGACTTTAGCACAGATTTCATTTGACTCTTACTCAGTTCTTTTGCTGAAGTTTTCTGTTTTTCAACAGTAGTTTAATATACGCGAAACACTGCCAAATTTTCATTGTCGGCCACCGTTAAACGACGTCGATAATTTTTGGGGCTTTTTATCCGTACTTTTCGACAATTTGGTTCCCATATGCATTTTTGCACCAATTTGTACTCTTTTTACTTTGTATGTGTCCTCTCTGTTCTTTTACATACCTTAGCATATTTTTGAACGCTTTCATCTCTCACGAGGTGGTGATCCATTCGCGCAGTATTTCTACCTTATAGTGATTAGAATTGAAAATTATTGGTAGGTTTCAGTTTTACTGTTTGTTATATTCATCCATTTCATACAGTAGCCGTCATAAGTCCTTGTGATTGGAAAAAGAGGAGTGATTACTAATCAGAAATTGATTTTTGTATGCTTGAATGATGTTTATGGAAGGTGAACTGAGCTTCATTTTCTGTGTCTTCATCGGGGTAGAACATGAAGGACCTGGTTGACAAAACAAGGAGTCCACACATCGTAGTACTTACTTGGATACTTAGATGGCCTGTCCTCACAGGCTGTGCGCGTCCCAGCATAATTTCCACGTCTTTCTACGATTTTCAAATAGGAATCTTACCAAGTTTTGAAACTATAATAAAGTAGTTTAGTGATTTTTCTTTCTTTTGAAAAAGGTATTGTGTAAGTTATTCGCCATCATGCTCAGGTTATTCAAAACGACTACATGAGGTAGTCAAGGGAATCCTAATCACACATAAATATAGAGCCATCATTTGTAGAAGATTGGCGGACTACGACTTCGATCCGATTCTAAATCAACCGCAGGTGTTGATGCGAGATCGGAATGCGGTAGAGAAGAAACTACGTGCTTTGATCGATGATGGCAAAGAGAATCTTATGGTACGTACTCATCTGAATTATTCTCTGCCTTACACATTTTCTCCGTTTTCTCTTGAGTATGAACACGGTTACAATACAGGGTATTAAGTCAGAGTAATGCAAATGTAAGTCGGGATATTTATTTTTTGCTGTCGCCCTGTAGAGATACTATAGTTGTTCGTTTTTTATGCGACAAAGTCCGTCTATTCACTACCGAATGATATATGTTAAATAGTGATGGCTTAAGGCAATTTATTTTTGCAAAACTCCGGACCGCAGGTGTCTGCGGTGGGGAACGAACGCGCTATTGTCCTTTCCGGGGAGTACCGCGTTCACCACCACACCATGCGGGTCCTTCGTTTCGCCTTTCTCTCAGCTAGTTCTATTGATCGACGCCATCAGCAATCACCCGTCAACGGGACTGATCTAGGAAGCCCAAATCGGCAACGAACCTAGTTAAGCTGAGGTTGAAGTCGAAATCACAATCTTAAGTTTTTTATTTGCTACCTACTATATAGCTGAGAGAAAGGCGAAACGAAGGACCCGCATGGTGTGGTGGTGAACGCGTTACTCACCGGAAAGGACAATAGCGCGTTCGTTCCCCACCGCAGACACCTGCGGTTCGGAGTTTTGCAAATATCTCAGCATCATCTTAGTTGTATTTCACGTGATAGCCTGCTGTTAAAAATTATAGTAGGCAGTGAATAAAAAGCTTAAGAATTTATTTTCCTTGTCCTCGTAGAGAACTACTGCTTAGGTTTAGGTTCCTATTTAGGACTTGTATTTGAGAGGCAGAGGTTAAGTTTTCGGTTGTTGTCCAATTTGCCTTTTGATTAGTTTTGTAGTTCTGATTATAAGCATGCCTTAGAAAGGCACCTGGTCATTGTGTTTTATGACACTTTGAGATAGTTTTCAGGTGATTTCTGATTTTGACTACACTCTATCCAAATTCGAAGACAATCGAGGGAGAAAGTGCTGGACCACTCATGGAGTGTTCGATAATTGTGTCAAGCAAATTGATCCAGAATTGGCAAACAAGGTAGGTATTTATTTACCCATCATAGCCTCGGTGATGAATGGACGCTTAGAGCTTTTGGTGGATGTTTCCAATGGCAACTGTAAGAATTTCGGTATATGACGGATAGCCATAAAACAGCAAACAGTCTCGTATGTGTCCCCGGTACGGGTATGTATAAAACGGAGATTGGTAAGCAGCGAGATGTTTTTGTAATGGAGATCAGTTATTGTATCGTTTTCAGTTCCAAGCGTTGAGAGATAAATACTTCCCTATTGAATTCGACCCGAATCTGACAGCAGAACAAAAGGTTCCACTCATGGAAGAGTGGTAAGTGCATTTTACTTCTGTATTCCTACTTATCTTATGAGCAATACTTCGTGCGGGAAGTTCATAAAGAAGCTAAATAAAAAATCTGATTAACAATTTGGTTTCGAATCAGTGATCATGAGAGCTAAAAGTGTTCAAGTTTTCCTCTGTCATTTGCGGTTAAACATGAGTCATTATTGAGAATAAATTCAGCACTTCTAACGCTTCTAGCCTAATCTGCTGTCAATTTGGTAAATCTAACGTTTTTGTGGATTCTATTTTATTACCTGTCTTTCATGTCTTTCATTCTATTTCTATTTCTATGTCTGATTTTTTACCTTCTATGCACGCCATTATCACATCTTCGTTCCATCGACTCCCTATCTTACCCTGGATGAGCTACTTTCCAGTTTTGTATTTTTTTTGTTTTCTATCTTATTAGGATATTATGCGCTGACACGACAAAGTAGAGTAGTCCGAATAGTGTCGCTATTCTTGTAATCGAATGAAGTTATTTCAGGTGGAACGTTTCTCATGGTTATATTGTTTCAGCGGGTTTCCATAGAACGACAATCGAGGGATTTGTGCGCAGAGCGCACATTTTGCTTCGGTAAGAATCTTTTAGAACGTAAAGTATAAATAATCAGATTGTGTAGATGTGAAAACCAAACATTATGGTGCCTGGAGAACATTTCCTCCTCGTTTGATTATTTTCATTCTATTCTACTTGTTGACTTGCAGGTACCATATTTTCAAATAATTGAGTCTGTCATTGACAATGGTACTGAGCTGCCATTCCAAAACTTCAGAACCATCTTGCTTTCGTCTTTTGATTATCCAGATCTCTATATCTACTTAGCGGACAGATTGATTCGATGTGAAAAGTTAAACAAATAAGGCGTCTTGAAATAAATTTCTTAGTTAAACGATGTAGTCGAGTCTCATTGCTTCAGCAAAGCGCGGCAGGAACCTGAATACCGTTTTATAATAGAACTTGTTGCTGCGTATTGCTTTTCCCATTCCTCTTTTTTTTCACTAGAGATTATTTTCTAGAACGCTTCGTGGAATCGATATTATTTCTTCATCACACATTCAAATGATGATGATGACGGCTGAATGAAACAAAAGACGGTCTGATTGCGCACAAAATGTCATACTCCTTTTTAGAGATCAAGCGGATCACCTAATGCGGCGCTTACATCAGCTGGGAGTGCCTTTGGTCGTCTTCTCAGCCGGAATCGGAAACATCATCGAGATGTTTTTGAGGCAGAAATTGGGTCAAATTCCAGGAAATATCCGACTTATTTCGAATATGATGAATTTTGACGAACAGGTACTCTTTGGTGCACGTGGATCTAGTGAAGGGTTTGCAAATATATCTTTCAAAACTTTAAATTTATGCGTTCATTCATTAAATTGGCAATAGAGTATTGCAACACTTCCAAAAATTGTATAATTCCTCCAACAGTTTATCCCCTCATTGTGGATAGATTTCAAACTACAATGCAATGCGGCTAAGTGGCAAATCTCCTTTCATGAGGATAGGCCCTTCAGATAGGCTACAAGGTAACAGTGGACAAGTTTGGACAGTAGAAAACTGTACAGTATTCTGATCGCACAAATGGTTATCAGCAACTGTCCGTGCATCTTTGACCAGCGAAATTTAGCATTTATTCCTTCTAGACTTCAGACAAAGCAGAACTGGAACGTTTGCTATGAGAGGACGATTCTTCACTGGTTTTAGTCGGATTTGGAAACCTTGTGTACTGTGAACTTAGGGTGCTGGAATAGGCCATCGACCACGTTCTAACATCTACCAACTTCCCATGTATTGGGAATATGCAACGAATATTTGTGGTTATTACACTGTAGGCGATCCACAAAGTCAGTCCCGCGTCGTGTCCTAACCAACTATACCTCTCTCCCCTTTGCCACATTCTTCTGTCATACTTAATTGTGCTATGATAATAAATGTGGGCTTGACCATTACATTAACCTTTGAGAGCCATTCAGCAGTCGTCTGTCCAACGTGCTCATTACTGATTTGTAAATCTCAGAATAATGGAAAGTTTTGTTAGAACAGAACTATGAGTGAAACTTGTGACACTAGATCAGATGGTGCCTCTATAAATTATTCACCACAAGAACTGGTTAGTGGAATTCCTACGTAGAAAGAAAAGGAAGATAACAAAACCAAAGTAATATTGGAAGGGTGCAAATGTGTCGTATACACCATAAAATTTTTTTCTAGAAATTTTTATTTAGGACATCGTGGCTTCGTTTTCTGAACCACTCATTCACACGTATTGCAAAAACTCGTCTGTGGTTCGTAAAGAAGCCCAGTTGTTCCATGAATTAAGCGAGAGGTTAGTTTCTATGTCTTCTACTTTAATGGTTTTCATAAAACAAATGGTTGGAGTAGAGTACTTGCTCTAACCGTAGAAAAATGGATTCACATTTACCAATAATTTGTGATATTTATCAGACGCTGAATTAGAAATCGTTTTGTGATTTGATAAACACCAAAGCGTTATAGTATATTTTTTCTAACATTGGTAAAGATTGTTTAAGAAAATTTGTTGGAGATAAGCAAATTTCAATTGTATTTTCGAAATCAGAAAATTATCTCAGAAGTATCTATCATAAGAATCTAAGGCAAGCCTTTTTTTCAAGATAAATTTTTCAGTTCTTTCCGCAATTTCTGACAAATTGATGTTAAGTTATACTTCGATACCTGGATGGCCCATCCTCATTAATTGTGCGCATCCCAGCATAATCTCCACTGTTTCGGAGTTTTGCTGGTGTAGCCATTGTGATTCCGTTGACTCCCGAAGTCAACCAGGCCAAAGTCTACCTCATGTCATCATCACAGGCAGTTGCCGCCCACGTGGATCAGAGGGAGATTTGCCACCGTGCGACTAGTTTGATACCAGGACGGTGATGGGTCCGGGTATTGATTTACTCTAAGCTGAGTTTCCCGGTAAAAACGCCAGACTCTCTCAGCCTAACGAACCCTGCTGGGAGATCAATCCCTCTCTGTACATCGCAGCCCGACACCCAGGAACACATTCCAGCGGCGATGAGGCGGTAAACCGTTGCGAGGGCTCTTAAGTTATGAAGGACTTAATTATGATTCTACTTTCGGAACTGGTTGGTTTTAAAACACTAATTTTGTTCTTCAGGACTAACATTATTCTCCTTGGTGACAGTATGGGTGACATTCACATGGATGTTGGTGTGGAAAAGAAATCTCTAACGCTCAAAATCGGATTTCTTAACTCGGACGTGAGTTATTCATCTTCCGAATTACCATGTTACATTTCTGGCCTTTACTTAAATGCCACTTTGCTTCTGTATATAGTCATCAACAAATTAATCATCAGCTTCAAATTAAATGTAACCTCGTGTCGAATTCAGTTCTGTAGTTTTAGGTAAACAATCTGGTCGATCACTACATGGAAGTGTATGATATGGTACTGGTACAAGATCAATCGATGCAAATACCGAATTCTATAGTGCAAGCTATCGCCGATGGCTTCGTGAAATGTACATCGTATCGTTCAGTCACATAGTCATTGAAGTCCAGTCTCAAAATTTTCCTGCTACCCTATTTGATCTTAAATACCGAAAATATGTGAAACATATCTAAGATTAAGAAATCAAAGCTCGTAGTTCTTTGCAGAGTATCTTAAGGTACATTTTTTTTACTATCATAAGTTTCGTTAACCTATAATTTCTAAAATTTCGCAAAAATTACAATCACAGAACTAGGAATATTGATTATAAAGTGTTCATTATTAGTGAATTTTCTTGAATTCGTAGCATATCCTCGTTATACCATAGCCAAAAACTTCCAAAGTGGATTAATCCAGAACACTCGTGAGAAAATACTTCTTGTACATTGAAAAATTTGATCGTGTACTGTAGTTTTTTCTATGCTTCCTTGTTACAGTATAATCTGGATAGTGTAATAAACAAAACTTGTGGATATTCTGCTCATTACATCATCTAAGTAGACAAAGCAACCGTGAGAAGTTTTCCATATCTACATTTATATCGTTTCCCGTTGTAAATACTGATGCTTAATGTATTAGTTCTTGACTTTAAGATGATGATAAGGTTCAATAAGAGCCTGTAGAGTGTACATTGGTGGTTCATCGTTTATGTTTAGCTTGACCCGTGATAAATCTCATTTCACATGAAAGGGTCACCGTTGTGCATAAGCAGTAAGTTGATTAATGTTCACTACAAATAAAGAGATGAGAATTAAGTCATTTTCTGCTGTTTCTAACACATTGTGGGGATGGGCCACTGTGCGCAATTGCATTGTGAACAACGTGTGTGCTCTTATCACGTATCGACAAATTTCTGATTTTCTGGAGAACGACGAGTTTATCCTTTTCGGCTTTTCTACGTCAAGGTTCGTACTTCGAACACTGGACGGGCTGAATCGTCTGGATTTCGTAGAATAGGATGCGATGTTCTCTCAATGTATCTTGAGCTGCCGGATTTGCGATAACAGTTCTAGAAATATAACTTCAATGATGCTGAAATATTTGCAGAAAGCCGGACCGCAGGTGTCTGCGGCGGGGAACGAGCACGCTATTGTCCCCATTTGTCGCCGATTTGGAAATTACCTAATTTTATTAATTACGAATTCTTTGATCCTACATGTGGTTTAAAGGTCTGCTCAACTGATTTAGGTTTATTAAAACCGCTTGATATACTCATCAAAATAATCTCTTCGAAGGACTAGTTGAGCACCGAACAGTTCTGCAAGGATTCTTTCGGTCACCCTTCGTGAGCAGAATGGGGTTTAGGTGATCGAAGTTCTCCACTGGTGAGCATTCTTTACTTTCTGAAGGCACGTTGTCGTATAAATTGGGAAAACGAATATAGCCTGTGATTTCCATCTTGATAGATCTCGGCTGTGATCCTGAAGCTGGACTTCTCCTTACGCTTTCAATCGTAATGGTAGTCTTAGGAGAAGCATCCAAACTGGGTCTGCTCAGGCGGTGCATTCAGTTCTGTAATGGGTATCGCGGAACAAAAAGAATTAGTACATTTTCCGTTGATATTTTCTCCATGCCATGGAGTAGTGTATTAGTAGTCCCACGTTTTTTCTTTAGAGCTGACACTGGGACATTATATTCGAACAGATCTCCACAGCATCATTGCAGTGGATAACGAAGTCAATTTGCTGGGACCAGAAGAGATTATCTTTTGATGGTAAACTCCTATCAAGTGCTCTTTTCCCCGACGACATTGAAGTATCCAAGAAACCTTCCGAATATAGAGAAATCGATAGAGAAATGAGCAGACATCTCCTCCCTATATTTAAAGTAATGGGCACCCATAGAAAGAAACGTAGACGATCCAGAAACATCTGGGTATTCGTAAGATGGGCTGGAATGTGTTTCAACAACTAGTTAAATATTAGGGTTAAGAACCATGTTATCTTGTCCGTTGGCCCGTCTAAGGTGGAAGCACCGGTGACCGATCTCGGGCCACTACTCAACTGTAGATACTGTAGAACATCTGAAATCATCTGTTTGATGTTCTTTAGCGATATTTTTGTGCGCTATGTTCAGATGTTTTATATCGCGGATGTTGTTCGGATGAACCAGATGTTCGCCAAGTGGAAGAAGTGCGAGACGAAGGAAAACTTTTGCGCTCAATATTTGGAGGACCGCCTCTGGAGGAGAATAGTGGGCGGGTCAGTGTTGATTTGCAACTCTATTAGGTCTAATGCTAAAGTAACTTTGCGGAGAAAATTCGAAGACCTTTTGAGTAAATCACATAACACAGCTTCAATGGCGCACAAAAATATCGCTAAAGAACATCAAACAGATCACATTAGGATAGGTAATGTGCAAGAAAATTCAAGGCTAACCGTGTTAGGAGGCATAACTCTCCCTGACGGTGCGCGCTCGTTATTAGAACTGGGGCCGAGTTTCTCACCATCTGAACCCATTTCTAAGATAACCTTGCGTAGGGTCGCATGTGGTTTACATGAACTTCAGGATAGACTCCGCAAAAAAGCTAGAGATGAAGCGCTAAATAGGTGCGAACAACATCAAGTGGGGGCCCTACCAATGGCACCATTTCCCCCGACGTTCTTTAGACAACAAGAGCCCAATAATGAAGTTGATGTTAAATTTCGGATGTTTGCGAATGAAACTGTCAAAGTCCTTAATCACTATCGTGCGAAAAGATACAGCTCAAAGCTCACTCCAGTGCAAAAACGTGGTATGCGAGAGGTACGAGAGCTGATAAGGTTGAAAACCATAAGACTATCCGTTAGTGATAAGGGTGGAGAGTTTGTCGTAATTCCTCATCAGTTAGATNGGCTAAAATGGCAAGGGCTGCTGGTTTAAAACCATCATTTATCTCTCAACATCAAATTGACCTTTCCAGGCTCTGAAGAAGGGGAAATCCGCCGAAACGTCAGCTTAATCGTGAACAAAGAATAGTAACACCTCGCGTTTGCTCAACAAAAATACGAAGAAAATCACTTGATCAATGCCGAGGTTAATAGAAAGTCGGTCGTGGCAGTTTCTCAACTTAAAGTTGACTTACCAACATGCCCCGTCTTGTACTTACTTATAAAAACTCACAAGGTAGTATCCAGCGATGATCTTGCCTCTACCGATCCATCACTATTTAAGGTTAGACTTTAAGGTTAGTTGCGTAGACGGGCCAACGGACAAGGTAACATGGTTCTTAACCCTAATATTTAACTAGTTGTTGAAACACATTCCAGCCCATCTTACGAATACCCAGATGTTTCTGGATCGTCTACGTACTGCGCAGCCCAACAGCGCGTGCGTGATGGAGTCCTTCGACGTTACCGCCCTTTATACAAACGTGTCGAATGACTCCGCAATGCAAGCCATATTCGAACTCCTTACACAACACGAAGGAGAAATAAACATGTATGGCTTCAAGATAGAGCACCTGATGGCACTCTTAAAAGAATACTTGAGCTACTCAATCTTCAGATGGTCCGGAAAGTACTACGCTCAAATAAGAGGGTTGGCAATGGGACAACGACTGGCTCTAAGCCTTGCCATTGCATTTATGTCTAAGGTGGAAGCACCGGTGACTGATCTCGGGCCGCTACTCTACTGTAGGTATGTAGACGACTGCTTTGTCCTTTGCTCAACACAAGAGGAAATGGACAACTGTTTCGAATTGTTAAACGCACAGTCAGAGTATATCAAAATCACCCAAGAAAAACCGAAAGAAAAATGGCTTCCATTTTTGAACGTACAAATTCACCTATCAAAAAATGGCTACATTACGAAGTGGTACTGAAAGCCAAGTAGTAAAAACATTTTGGTCCATTACCTCTCCTCTCACCCCTCTCACACGAAAAGGGCCCTTATAAGAAACATGTTTCGAACAGCAACCAACGTGTGCATGGGAAGAGAGCAGAGAGAGGAGTCCCGGAACTTGGCACGGCAAATAGCCATTTCTAATGGCTACGAAACTGTAGCTCAGGATAGGTGTAGAGGAAATCGTAGGCCTCCAAACGACAACTCTAGCGATAGAAGGGTCCCGTTTATCCTACCCTTCATCTCAAATGATATAAGTGCAGCTATAAAACGCTGCTTGAGAAGGGCGGGCTTAGAGAATTCGGTAAGCGTAGTTGAAATACCACCGAGTAATCTTAAGCGCCAGCTAGTTCGTAACCGCCTATATGACCGTCTATGTGCAACTCAAAATTGCATAATTTGCCCCAGTGGTAGAGACGGTGATTGCATGAGCTCGGGTATAGTTTATCTGATCTCCTGTAAGACGTGCGGTGACGAATACATTGGCGAAACGGGTATACCCCTCTGTGTCCGCATAAAAGAACACCTAGCCGGTAAACATAGACCAAATACACCGCTAGGCACGCATAGGACCCAGAGACATAACGGGGACGACTTTGAAGTATGTGTCACGATCCTCGCACGCGAATCAAGAACACAGGCGCGAAANATCGTAGGCCTCCAAACGACAACTCTAGCGATAGAAGGGTCCCGTTTATCCTACCCTTCATCTCAAATGATATAAGTGCAGCTATAAAACGCTGCTTGAGAAGGGCGGGCTTAGAGAATTCGGTAAGCGTAGTTGAAATACCACCGAGTAATCTTAAGCGCCAGCTAGTTCGTAACCGCCTATATGACCGTCTATGTGCAACTCAAAATTGCATAATTTGCCCCAGTGGTAGAGACGGTGATTGCATGAGCTCGGGTATAGTTTATCTGATCTCCTGTAAGACGTGCGGTGACGAATACATTGGCGAAACGGGTATACCCCTCTGTGTCCGCATAAAAGAACACCTAGCCGGTAAACATAGACCAAATACACCGCTAGGCACGCATAGGACCCAGAGACATAACGGGGACGACTTTGAAGTATGTGTCACGATCCTCGCACGCGAATCAAGAACACAGGCGCGAAAAACTCTCGAGGCATTCTGAATTAATTCCAGAAATCCGAAAATAAACCGCAGGGAAGAATGCCTCATTATCACGCGTGATATAGGGCAGTATATAAGACTGCTGTTCTGATGGGAGGGGCA